GGGAAGTTTTGATAATAAAACACAAATGACACCCCAGATAAAAAAATAAACAATACCGTAAGAAATAAATCTCTGTTATATTTTCCTTAAACAAATACTGGAATATTTCATCATTTGTATGAGGAAGTCTTCCCTGAAGCTGCACTGTGAACACTCACAGCTTTATCTTTCCCCCCTCACCACAAATTTCTGTGGTAAAAAGACAAAACAGAGAGCGTGTTTCATTCCCCGTTTCCTCCAGGCAGCATTTTCAAAGACAACACTGTTTTTTTTTTTTTTGCTTTTATTTGACTAACCTGATATTTTACATGATAAGTTGCTGCACTTTTAAAAACTAATCTAACAAGGAAATGTATTTATAGTCACCTGAATGAAGACAGTAACCTATTCAGAGTATTACGGTAACATTTCCTTGAAGCTTTTGAAATGCTGCAGTGGTAACCAGATGAATTGTGTACTCTTGCGTGTCCGAAGAACATTGGTATAAAGGGCTTCTGTTCTTTTAGCTGCTCTTTTTTAAGCTATCTCATTTGCCTGCCGTATGCAAAACAAGTGGTTATCATTCCCAGACAGAGGAAGGAGTGGGCAGGACGGTAAATCGTAGGGAAACTGTTCAGGGAAAGTTAGGATGTTAACATGTTTCCCGCCAAATGTGCACATCTCAGAGTGAGCCTTTRGTTGAGGCCTCGCTAAACCAACATGTAGCATCCTAAAAACTGATATTAAATGACAGTTTTGCTCACTTATAGTAGCTAACTCTTAACAAGCCTTGCMAGGTTGGCCCAAGAAGCAAGAAAACTCATGTTAAACAAACTGAAGACTTAGACCAGCTGGTTGTGAAGATCTGGTCTTTTTATGAGTTCGTGCACCACTCCTTTACTTTGATAATAGTCTGGATCTGTACTATTCACCGAAAGATTTATATCTGTTTAGCTGTACAACAGTCTATGCAGCCATTTTGTTCAATTGTGTGCAAATGATTGGTCCGCTACAGATATTGAGGTAAAAGTTGATGTGGTATTAGCAATACTCCTCCCCCTCCTCATACCAGACAACCCTGCAAAGTTGTAAGACATCAGACAAAATGTCGATGGTCGTCACAGGGTCTTGGCAAGGTTTTCAGGTACGTGTCAAAGACCATTATGAGGCACCCCATTAAAGAAAGGGGTATGCACGACCAATAGGATTTGCCACACTTTCAATGTTCAGCTGCAAGGACCGAAACCTTTTTCCTAATAAATGGTTAAGTTTTGTGAGGTCTAACTCCTTGATGCTCAATAGCTGCTCAAAGAGTTCCAAGCTTTAAATGGCTCCGTTCACGACTACTTCACATGCATGAGACCAAAACGTTGGTGAAGATTCTCAGTCATCCAGTTCATGATCAATCACCAGACAAGTCAACTCTGTTGACAACATCAAGATCACCAAAGAGGATGCCAACAATAACAAGCTGCCTTTTCTGGACGGTTTGGTGAGCACAGAAAGAGATGGAAGCCTCGACATTGAAGTTAACAGGAATCCTGCTCACGCAGATCAGTACCTTCTGTTTTGACTCTCACCATCCACTGGAACACAATCAGAACATTTTTTTTCTGCTCTCGGAGGAGTAAGACATTTTTTTCCTTCTCTCCTGCCCTTCCTTATCTTTCCTGCTTTGCTGCTCGGAGCCTCCTCTACGTTTTCATGCAAAACCAGAAATWATGGATATTTTTATTTTTATGGATTTGGTCTCATAATAAATTTTTGGAACAAATTTTCTTCCATGAGAGGACATGTCAAAGGCGGGACCTCTGTTCGACTGAGACAACTAGCTGGATATAATTTGGATTCTGATCACTGGACTTCTATAGATTGGCTTGGTGGTCTCCTGGTGATCTGCAAAACTGCGTTGGTGGCTATTCGGGCCATTTCCTGGCTGCCAGTATGGATTGCCKTGCTTTCAGCTCTCAGACTCATGCCTTGTGAGAGCTGTGCAAGTGGTTCTTGTTGAGGGTCACGGGCCGGCTGCGGTCCATGGACTTCGCTGGCAAGATRGAATTGATCTTGGAGAAGGTGATAGCTCGGCTTGGTGGGATTGTCCACACCATTGTCTGATTGGATTCGCCACATTGGGTTGTACCAGCGGACATTAAGGCAGATGGAAAATTGTTATTGTCTGCCTGACCCAAAACATTTTCTTCTGTTCCCAAACAACTGTGATTACTGATTCGACTCTCCCCCTAGTGTGTCACATTTCGTTGAAACATTTTTTTCCCTCGTCTATCCCCTTGTGTGGTATTTTGTTTTTCTTTTAAGGGTTGCRCCTCCTCCAGATGTTCTTTCATGATGATGATCCTTGCTCTGTGCAGGGTCTATGGCTGCAAGACCCGGGGCATCTGTTCTCGTTTGTTATGTYGTCTTCTTCTGAATGGGTGTTCTAAACTTTAATTTCATTGTGCTCTGTACAATGACAATAAAAGTTTATCTTATCTTGGCCTTRCTTATCCTAACTGATCTTTTGTCAAATAAAAAAAAAAGTAAAAACATCATCCCATTATGCTAGAGTATCTGATTTCCATTCTGATACATTTTCCGAYACATTTTAAACCCAACAGGGTCTTCAGACAGAAGCTGGTCCATCTTAAGGACAGAACCCCCCACTCAAAACTAAGTGGTGTGCCTCTTTATTGGAGAAACTACCTCACCAGAGATCCATGGCTCAGCACAAGAGAGCTACCTCATCAGGATAGGGGTCACACTGCTGAGGACCAATATGTTCATATTTGGGACAGAGAGGGGCACACGACCCCAATTCACAGCTTCTTGCATATGATCAAGACATTTCTCCTGTGAGCCAGGCAAACAAATAGCCTAACGACTCTCCATTGTGAGGGACAAGTATTCCTAGTTAATCTACATAAATCAAAGCACTAACGAGGCCTCTCAGGCAAAGCAAAACGTGGTTTTTGTTTTTTAACCTTTATTTTTGGAATGTGACCAAAACATTCCWGCAAACAAGGGCCCTAATGAATACCAAATCCTGCAAAGCTATCCCTAAAACCAATCCCGACACCTCGAAGCTCTTACATATCTGATCGTACCACTTTAATAAATTAGTAAGTTACTCTTTCCTTGTTTCCCCATTCAGTACAAATCCAGGTTTTTGGTCTGTGTGCCAATAAGCAAGTGGTTTTCCTGCTGTTTAGCCCGGTTAGTTTTTTTCACTGCGTCCAGGACGAGTTGTCCTGAACCCAAGTGAAGTGAAGTGATTTTCTTTACGGGTTTGTTCTTGTTGTGGTGACTCCCGAGCTTTTCATCTGTTGCCTTTGAGCAAAAATTATCCAAATTCTCTCTTCTTTTGTTTGTGCTCCCTCAAGCTACACCTTAAAATAGATTTAAAATACGTCTGCTTGTTGATGACACCCTTTGGTAATTTCAGACAACAATGAAGTTGGTATACCTTTATTTCAATAATAACCAATTCCACCCGTGTGTTTTGGCCGACGTGTCCAGCAGACACCRTGTTTGTGTGGGAGCTCCACCAGACATGAGTGGTGTTAATTAAGCTTTTGTTAGAAAGAGCTTCAGACAAATATCTGACAGAAAGAGGTGATGAAAGCAGAGGCACATAAACAAAATATTTGAAGAYGTAAATTACTGCAAAACAAAATCCTAAACAATTTACGCCCATCAGAGAACATGTCTGGTAAATTACCACAGACTAATTATAATTTAGACATTTTATTTATTGTTGATGAAAAAAATATACCCAACACTGCACTGCAAAAAAATTAAAAAATAATAATAAATGAATAAATAAAATTGTGCTTATTCTTATTAGACGAGTTAAGTTCTAAGGGCAAATTGTGCACAAAGGAAAGACTCAAAAATTCTCATGTCTGAAAAACGTGTAAAATTACAAGTGTTACAGTTTAAAGTTCATTTCCCAAAAGATAGAGTTACCTAACTAAATACAGTCATCGGGACCAGTTTGGTAAGCTGTGCTGGTGAGTCATCACTTATTAAAGTCATTAGTCATAGGCTATTGTTTACTTTCTGGTTACAATATGTGTAGCTAAAACTTCCTTGTAAATTAAATACAAGTACCATAGCTACCGCAGATCAAACTCAGGATCCCATCACCTGGGACTGAACTTAACACAAAGTGAAAATACTGCTAGAAGATAGGATATATGATGCTTCAACCACGCTATTCAGCTCAATATTCAAACAGGGACTGATGAAATACAATAACAATGAAAGGCACGGTTCGGCTAATCCGCTAACAGCTAAGCTAACTACTTGTTGAGAGGATCAGTCGCTACTTTTGGAAACCGTTAGCAGAACTAGCTTCCGATAGGTTTGCTCAATATTATATATATATGTCCTCTAACGAAAACAAAAACACATGGAGCATTGCACACCTGTGTCAAACATGTGCGAGTGTGGAATCTTTAGCATTTTGTGTCCACCTGTGTATGAAGTCAAATTCTTGCAATAGTCAGAAAGGGTGATTTTGGCGGGAGAAATACCCTAAAAGCCCTATGGGACATGTAGTTACCCAGTTTAGCTTTATCCTGGTGGATTAATGAGTTAGCGGTTAGCATTAGCTTCTGCTAATTTCCTTACACATTTAGCAGTTTAACCGTAAGGGTTAGCAGTTAGCAAAGCTAATGTTTTTGTTATGCCCACCTATGTACAGCATTAAACACAAAGGCAATTTTTTTGTTGTTTTTTTATGTTTTTTTTTTTAATTGAAAATAAACCTTTAAATAAGAACAATATTCTTACTGGACGAATATTTTACCACAATTATTATTCAAAACACTTTCCCAAATACAGACAACACAAATATAATTTTATATATATCTATATATGTTTATAAAAAGCAGCATATATCTCTATCAAGCACACTAATCAGCATTTCTACAGTGCAACATGCAAGTGAAATATTTGTCAAAACAATGTGAATATATATATATAAAAAGAGAAATATATATATATATATATAAAAAGAGAACTTGTGTGTTTTTGTAACATTTTTATATACAGTATACTGCACGATGGAAGGAGTGTTTCTGGACTATAGAGCACCATTTTGGACGAGGGTCAGTTAGGAGATCAGGTTGGCCTTCTCGTTGTTTCCACACTGAGGTGAATCCAGAACCAGAACCCTCCCGGTAAGTGTCTGCTGAGTTTGCAGTGTTGAGACCACCGAGTCGAGAGCGGGATCTACAGCAGCAGAGAAAAAGAGAAACGGTTTCGGCTGAAACATCTTTGTTTTTGTTTGTTTGTTTAATGTACAAACCGCAAATTAAACAAACGAGATAGTACCCGTTTGTTTTCCTGATGCACAGACGCCTCTTCTTTTCTGTTTCCTCCTCTGGCGCACTAAAATAGAACCAGGACAAAACAAATAAGGAAACAGGACGACATTATTTTATCCAAATTTTGTGACTTAAATACAGGCAAATAATTGTCGCTGATCAGTCCGCCCATGTAGCCAAGTGGTCAGTGTCAGAATAAACATGTTGCCAGTGGGTGAAGGTATACAGAACTGTGTCTCGTGAGGAAACTGATGCCGAAGTCATGGGGAACATGCAATTCTGGAGTTTGAATGGTTGAAACAGGAACTGGGCTTTAACTGCTAGTACAACATGCGCCAAATTCATACAAAGTGAACACGAATCTTTAAAAGAGTGGTTAAAATCTGTGACTGTGCTGACAGTGAGCCTTACACTCTACCCTCAGCTTTACCAACAAACCACTGGAAGGACATGGCCGCCACAGCTAATCAAACTTGGCAAACATACATGGGCATAACACGGCAAATTATACAGATACTGGCCTAAAACTTGGTGTGGTAATAGCTGAGAGTCATCCTCAACACCATCTCTGAGTGCTAACATGTCATATAAAAGGTTTGACCAAAAAGGCCCACCCACCCTCTGACGTTAAAGAGTTTTAGCCTAAAAAGTTGCCAGTTTTCCATTAAGGAGGGCTGTAAATACCTGTCAACATTACGTGGAAGGCCAAAGCGATGATGATGATGCCAGAGAGGCAAACAGCAGTTGGTAGAATGAGCCATGTCAAGTTCAAGGAGGCGGCAGTGGATTTGGAGGCTGCAAAACGAAACAGGACACACAATATGTGTTTATATTCTAATTCATTTTGGTTTTTTTGGACTGAGCTGCACGACTTATTATCAACAGAGTGGTGCGGGTGTAACCTATCCCATCCCTTCTGGATACAATCTATCAATCTGTGTTTTTAAGGATGTTAAAAATGACAGTTCTGTTCAATATGTTTATATATATAATTGTTCCATTTTAAAGCTGCAGGCAAAACGGGTCCTTGATTTTGTTTTTATATGAATTCCAAGAAAAGACACACGTCAGACATCCGAAACATTCATTTGATGCTCAACGGTAGTCATTTAATAAATCAGGCTGCACAAAAAGAAAAAAAAAAGGTGAACCCTTTGAACCTTCGATTACAAAAACTAACCGCATGGCTCGAAGCATTGAACCACCGTGGGAGCGTACTTCACGTCGAGCCTCTTCACCTGCACAAACACAACGGGAGGATTCAAACTTAAGAGTTTGACTGAAAACAAAGGATAAAAGAGCTTTAAAAATTTTAAATACACCAAAGTACCTGTAGACATGAACCACATTGTACCCCTGTCAGGTTCAGATCAACGGCTTTCTGCTTCTCCTGAGAAACACAGAAGTAATTTTTCTTTTATTTCCTGCAGTTAAATAGGAAGATTTCACAATTTAAATTTAGTACGTTTTRTCCTTATAGTGATCCGGTTTCTCTTTACTCTTTACTCGCAGGTAGTGTTTGACCTGAAACAACTTCTGTATACTTCAAAAGAGTAAAATGTTCAGTTCAAGCTTTGACCTTTTTTTTTTTTTGTATTTTTTTGTAAATGATCTTTTCTTTGAATATACAGTATATTGGGGATAAAAAGGGGCAGACATTATAAGATTTATTCTTCTTCTGCTACCTTTCATTTTATTTTGACT